CTTTTTCTTTTTCTTTTTCTTTTTCTTTTTCTTTTTCTTTTTCTTTTTCTTTTTCTTTTTCTTTTTCTTTTTCTTTTTCTTTTTCTTTTTCTTTTCCTTTTCCTTTTTCTTTTCCTTTTCCTTTTCCTTTTCCTTTTCCTTTTCCTTTTCCTTTTCCTTTTCCTTTTCCTTTTTTCTTGATTTGCTTTCCTTTTTCCTTCTTTCCCCATTTAATATATATTTGCATTTTTTCCCTTTTTTCCTGTTCTTTTTCTTTTTATTTCACTTTTTCTTTTTTATTTTCCCTTGTTCTTTATTTCTTTTTCTTTTTCTTTGTTCTGCTTTTTCTCTTTTCTCCTTTTCTTCTTCTTTTACTGTTTTTTTTTTCTTTTTTTCCCCTTTTCCTTCTTTCTGTTTCCATTTTCCATTTTCCTTTTCTCTTTTTCCATTTTCATTTTTTTCCCCATTTTTATTTTTTCCTATTCCTTTTTTCTTTCTTTGGGCCTCGCTGTGACAGTGATGCCACCTGAGCTCTCCTCCTTGGCTCCTGTAATGAGTAAAACCCAGTGCAAACATCCCGCCTGGATGTCACACCTGCAGCTGGATGCACAGGATGGAGATTTTCAGCTCCAACTGGAACGTGCAGATCATGATGTGCCTGAAATTCCTGTTTGGGCCCTGAACCGACAAATTGTATTTTCTGCACATCCCATGCAAGAAAGAATTAAATGCATATTAGTAATATATGTAATTTGGTATTATCTGTGGCAGTGACTATTGATCCCATATAAGATTTTATGGGAATATCAAAATACACTCTTTCCTTCTTGAAAGTAACCCACCTGAGTGTTTTCTGCAGCTACAATAAAGCAGTGCTTTGAGTATCCAAATGATTGCCTGATGATATGAATATAAAATTGCCACCAGAGGAGATACCGGTGCAACCAGAGAGCATCTGCATTAGATGCTCCAGCGAAGCACTGAAACGGGCACATAAGGGATGAGCCCAATGGATGCATCCATGCCCCTCTCTCCATGTGCGTAAGCGCAAGATCCATGTCATGAAGGCTGGGGCTACGGAAAACCTCGTCCTTTAGAGCCTAGGGCAATTTATCTTCCAGGACCATGAGAATCATTACTGGGGCAGAAGGAAAGGTTTTGGATGAGATGTGTTTTCCAGCTTGGAAATGATCCCAAAGCAGAAGGTTCCATGGCAGCAGAGGCTATATCTGAAGTGGGAGAAAAATGAAAAATATTAAAAATGCATAAAAATAACGGCACATTTGTATGATTTCATTATGCTAAAACGGTTGCTTCTAGCTACATTTGGGGTGGAAAAGCAGCAAGTGAAATCATGCAACACCCAGCTTTCATCCAGCTCCTCTTGCAGCCAGTGCGAGAGGTTGGATATGTAGGGACAAGGAGGGAAGAGCACCTAAACCAGAGTGGATAGGGTTGCTATGGCACCTCGTCCCCATTCCTGCTTCCCATGTGCCGGGAACGCATCTTTGGGCCAAAGTACCCCAAAGTCACTTTAGGCATCCCGGGAAAGCAAAGCTCTGCTGGTGCATTTCTCCACCAGCGTTTGGATGAGCTACAACCCTAAAATGAGATTTGAAGATAACTCTCTGCCCTAAGTATTTCGAGTTTGGGCTGGCAGTTTGGTGTTTCCCCAAGTGGAAGGTGCCCTGTCCAGCCTGTGCCTGCATTTCCCATGTTTCTCACTTTTCCCGCAGTTCCAGCACTGGGATGGCGAATCCGTGCGGATTGATATTATTCCACACTTTTATTTCTAAGCCTAGTCTAAGTGGGAGCCAGGTGAGCCCAGGGCTGTGCTCAAGGAGCCCAGGCCTGGCTCTGCATGCACAGTGGCCATTGCCTCCCAAAGGCAACTGGGGGCCTTTCCCGGGAATACATCCATGCCAACAGCCTGCACGGAGCGTTGGGAAGCTCCGGAGCCCGGCACGCTGCTCCCCGGCACAGGCGCCCTGCGGGTGCCCAGAGCGGGCTGAGGCCGCAACATGTCCTTGCAAAGCAGAGCCTCATTTTTTAACCATAAAAGGCAGGAGCCCAAATTCCAGAGCTGAATTTACATGCCGCACGGCTCATCAACGTGGGAAAAAATGCCGCTTCCTCCTACGGAGCCGCTGCGGGTGCTGCGGGCCCGAGCACGCCGGGCGCCCGCGGCGGGAGCCACCTCCGGATAGAGGTGCCCGCGGAGCGGGGCCGAGTCCTGCCGCTCACGGGGCTCTCCTCCCACTGCATTTCCCAAACTGGTTCCGCCGGCCTCGAGGAAAACGTGGCACCTTCTGCGGAGAGCTGCCTCCTGCCCTCCTCCGGCCTCCGCTTGGATTCCTATCCAGCCTCTCCAGCTCTTTGCACCTCCTGCCCTTGAGTAACGCGGGAGGGAGGTGGATATTCCAGCATCACAGCTCGTGCGCTCCCCTCCGGGCCGAGTTGCACCTCGCGGTTTGCAGCAGCCGCACGTGGGGCCTTTTGCAAGGACTGCGCTGGTGTCTCGGTGCCCGGAGCTTTTCAGGAAACTCGCTGCTTTCTTGGAAGGGGCCACCAGCAGCGAGCACAAACCCCTGGGCGCCACGCCAGGTTTCGCAATTCCTCCAAATGCAGCGCAGGGACAACAGGGAGATATTTGGAAAACAGGAGCCCGGCAGCAATGACAACCTCTGCGCTCCCTGCCGAGATAAACACGGCCCTTCTCCTGCTCCACAAGCAGCCAACATAGAGCAGAGAAACCACAGCAAGGCCCCAAATAGCTTCTTTTACTAAATATATTCAGTGTGCAGTGCCTGGTGACAACTACTGCTGCTCTGAGGTCTTGGGTGCCTTTGGAGAGGCAAAACAAGGGCAGATACAATCACCAGGGTCACTTAGTAGCCCAAGTGCCTCTTTTACCAGTAGAGCAGGTCAAGCTAAACCATGCTGGAGATCCCCAAGAGAAATGCATACCCAAACAGGTTGCTTTGGTTTCCTGTAGCATCCTATTGCCAGGAAAGCCTCCTATTAATGACAGATAGACCCCCAAAAATTGGAAAATGTTCTTCAAATCACCTCTAAAAATGCTCCATAGGCTAGCAGGACTGCTTGTGTGGGACTGTGTCCCCAGCGTGCATCATGCTTCCGCCCAACACTTGGACATTGGGTTGGGTTTTGGAGGCGTATGGATACTTGCGGTGTTGGGTTTTGGGGACCATGGGCACCCAGAGCACTGAGTTGTGTTTTGGAGACACACGGACACCTGGAGCCTTGTCCAAGCCCTGGGAATGTGCAGCCCCACTTGCTGCCCTGCTGGGAATGGTCTCCGTGAGGAGACTGCCTCTGAGTGCACTTTTCCAGAGGTGGAAATTTTGTGTTTATCTCCAAGCATTTTAAGGCTCCTTCAAAGAGGTTTATGAAGCATTTTTACTGAGTCAACGGGAAAGAAATACAGCGCTGTAAAGAGGAACGAAGAAGTTCAATCCCCAAGATAGATGAGCATATCCAGGACATTATAGGTTTATCCAGGTCACCTTTTTCATTCTCACCCAGCAAGGAAATTAATGAAGCTCCCAAAGTTATTACCTCTAATTCATGACCTATTAATGGCAGTAAAGCTTTAAGAAAGCACAAGAAATATTATTCTGAAGGGCAAAGGAAATTCAGTGCACGCTTCTCCAGGATTTGTCTCGGCCATATGGGCCCTCATATAGGAGAGAGGAATTAGAGGTTATCCTGCCAATACTTACAGGAAAAACAGAAAGCAGGGGGGAGCCAAAGGGATTTGCTGATAGCACAAATCTGGGGAGAAATATCAGCAACCAAAGGGCCAAAAGGACTGAAATGATGTGCAAGGGTGGAGAGGCAATGGTACATGAGGAATTTCGGACCTCATTGGAAAACCGTTGGTGCATTGACTTTAAAGGGCCCATTGGGAGAGCTCTGGCCACCTGAGACACTGGACGTGGTCCTGAGGGTGCGTGCCCAAGCACAGGGTCTCCATGAGAGCAGAGATCCTGCAAGAGTCGCACGTGTTTCATTGGCCTCAACCTCAGCAGAGCAAAGGCTGAGGCAATTTTATTGATGACTGTAATTTAATGATGATTTTAATAGCCATTTAATGGCCAAATGTTAGGCAGAAGAAAAAGCTTCCTCTAGGAATGTGCTCTTGGCAAAGTGCAAGAGCGCAGTGGCACTGGAGGGGACACCTCAATCCACGAAATGAGAACATCCCTTCACCACCACGGCAGGGAGGTCCCCAGCCAGGACACTGCCTTGGTGGCCAGGAAGGCGAGCCAGGAGGCCGGTGCTGTGTGAGACTGGGGTGACCTCTTCCTAGAGTGGAGCTGCCCGGAGCAGCACCCGGCTGCGCGGGAAACCCGGGGATCCTTCAGGTCAGACCAGAAAAACCTGCGCTGGCGCCGCCCCCTCCAGCAGCCCATCCGAGATCCGATCCCCGCGGGTGATAAGCGCCGGGGAGAGGCAGGGGGAGGACACCCAAGGTCTGGGTGTTGAGGAGCGCTCCGGGGTTCCCACGGCCAGCGGGACGGAGGGCAGACAGGCAGCTGTGCAAATGTGTGTCTGCCTGCGCTGGCACGCAGCCTTCCTCTTCCTCCCGTAACGAGCCAAGCTGGAGACGAGGTGCTGAGGGGCTCAAAGAGCTGGAGA